GTACAACGATTAGGAAACATAATCTCTCTTCTGAAAAAGCAGTATCAACTTACAGGATCATTTTCAATAACATTGGAATTATCATCAAAGTCTGCCATATCCGGAATATCGTCGTCATCCTCAGCTCCCATGTAAGAAGGAATTTGCTTAATAGAACTCTTTTTGCTGATTTCTAGGCTTTCCATGGAAGGTAAATTATCATCCTCATCAGATTTGTTTTCTTGAAAAAAAAATGTAAAAGCATAAGCTATGAGGATTAAAGCCAAAGCACAATACACAAGCCACCAGTCCAACAGCAATGTATACCTTTAGGTTTCCCATGAGTTGCTAGCCAGCCATCATCACCATCAAGCAGAACTTCCCCTCCGGAAGCTTCGTATTCTTCTTCAACAGATGCAGCCCTCCGAAGACAAGGCACTGTTAAGTATTAAGCAACTCCAAAAATCAGTATGATAATGAAACAAAAACATTCAAGATCTTACCGCTTGCTTTTAGTAGAGGAAAACAAACATCAGAGACAAAAAAAAAACACGCATGATGTGGAGGCATACTATACTCAGATCTTAATCATACCGTTTCTAGTGATCAATATCTGTTTCTCAGGTGGCAAGTATGGCTTCCTCTTCCCTGGCTCACCCGATTCCCTGTTAAAACACAGAACCACACAAATTAACAGCTGGTAAGAGCCTACATACTAGTGTAAATTCCACATTTACTAATACAAAATGAAAAAAGAAAACCCTCTGCTACAGGACATCCTCAAAGAGTACCATACGCTTCTACAATATCATTCAAGCTGTGCCGTCGAAATCTCTTTCAAAAGGAGCAACTTTTGGGATAAAATAGGCAGGATGAAATTAAATACCCAATACCCATAACCAGAAAAGCCGAAGAAAATTGAAAATTAGACAAAGGGAGGAATTGGAATTACCAGGACCAGGTGGGGCATTTGGCAACGAGATTATCGCCGGCGGTAACAAACTCGGAGACACTGAGAACACCCTTTTCTTTGAAGGCGGAAACGGTACGCGGGCCAGTGATCCTCTCGACGGTGCCTTTGAAAGCCTCGTGAAGCTTCTGAGACAGAACCATCTCTTCCTCCCACTAAGGATTTTGGGAAATTGAAAAGGAGATTGAAGGAGGAAGAGGTAAGGGTACGAGGAAGAAAGGTTTTTGAGATTGTCCCTTCAACAACACGTTCCCTTTGTCAACACCTCATCGAATAGAATACTATTGCTGAAAATGTATATTTATAACATCACACAAAGGGGCAAGGGCATCATCATCGTAATACTGATTTCCTCTCCGAATATTTATTATTATTTTTTAGTAAATAGTTTACATAGGAAAACAAAACCTTAATTTCGGTAATATATGACAAGATAAATTTATAACTGAAATATATCATTAGTTATATTTTTGAAAAATCGTTATAGTTTTATTTCTAAGCATATAAATAAAATTTCATATAAAAAATATATATAAAGGTTTAGATAAAATTATCCAAATTTTTAAATACATGTTTACTTGTGGATTAAATTCACTTAAAGTTGTAGATTATAAGATACAAAAAATTAAACTTTTTTAAAAAAACATGAAAAAGATAAATTTTTTATATTCCTCAGGAACCTTAGGATTTTCATGAGTGGTTCAACAGTGGATATAGAGTTGTTCGGAAGAGGAAGCAGAGCCATGAATCTCTATGAAACTGGAAGCAGTGAGCGGCGGCACAGCTCTGCGTTTCATCAGATTCCTGGTGTCCATAACAGCCTCCCACCGTCCCATTCCGGCGTAGAACTTCGCCAGAACAACGTACCTTCCACTGTGCTCACATTCAAACTCCACCAAATATCTCCCAATTCTGTGACCCAACTCAACGTAGCCATGCATCAAGCACCCATTCACCAAACACCCCCATATGGCTCCGTCAGCTTCCATTTCCATGCCACTCATGAACGCCACCGCCTCCTCGATCTTCCCGGCTCGAGCCAACACATCAACCACGCAGCCATAGTGCTCAATCCACGCCGCAATCCCATGTTTCTCCCTCATGTATTGGAACAATGTAACTGCTCTGCCAAATAGCTCTTTGTCATTGCACGCTGTCAGAACGCCGATGAAGGTAACACCGTTGGGCCTCGGGCCCACCTTCTCCATCTCCGCAAACAGCTCAAGGGCCCAACGATTCTTCCCGTTGATTGCCAGGCCCATTATCATGGCGCTCCACGCCGCAACGTCTTTTTTTTTCATCTTACCTAATACCCGCTCAGCAGGTTCCACGCATCCGCACTTTGCGTAGAAATCGATCAACGCCGTTCCGAGCTCAACTTCGTGATATTCTAACTCTCCGTTTCGGTGTACTTAAGATTGAATCCACTTCCCTTCTTCAAACGCGCCGGTGGCAGCACACGCGCCGAGAACACTCGCCAGAAGAGAGTTATTGGGCTTCACGGTTGCAAAACAGTTTTTCTTGAGGTCACGAAAAAGCTGAATGGCCTCGCGGAAGAACCCGTTTCTGACGTAGCCGGAGACCATTGCGCTGTACGACACGTCGTTTTTGTCGGGGATTGCGTCGAACACCTTCCTGGCTTCGTTTACCAAGCCGTTGTTGCAGTAGCCGGTGAGGAGGCTTGTGCAGCACGCGACGTTTTGGTTAGGATTTTCGTCGAACACGCGGCGCGCGGCTCGTGTGCAGGCGTGGTTGGAGTAGGCGGCGACGAGGGAGGTGGCGACGTAGGGATCGGCGAGGTGGCCGAGTCGGAGGATGAGGGAGTGGAGCTGTTGGATGAAGGAGAGAGAAGGGGAGGCTTTGGAGAGGAGGAGGGTGAAGGTGCGGGCGTTGGGGCGAACGGTGTCGTTTAGCATTCGGAGGAAGAGGGAGGAGGAGCGGCGGGAGAAGGCGGCGATGATGGTGTTGTAGTGGAAGAGAGTTGGGAAAGGGGTGCGAGAGAAGAGGGTATGGGCGTGGCGGAGATCGGCGTGGGGAGAGAGAGCGCAGAAAGCCAAGAGTTTGCTTGAGATGAAGGTGAAGCGAGCGAGGGAGGTGGTGATGGCGTAGGCGTGGATTTGCTTCATCTCTCTCATGCTTGAACATTGTTCCAGAAGGCTAACAAGGTTGTGTTTCTGTGAGGTAGAACTCATCATCCCCACCAAACAACAACTTCCACGAACTTTATTTCATGAGGCAATTGTTCCAAGAATAAAAAACAAATTTTGATGAGGCCGTTTATGAAATTATTTTTTGGAAATGATTATTGAGGTTTTGGAAGCAAAAAGAAAACCAAAACGGTTGAGTGAATGAGGTGACAGGCAGTTACCATGTATGTATAAGAGTGGAACAGTTCGTGGAAACACAATAGGCAGTGTTTGAAGAGAGAGAGAGAAAGTGTAAAGGAAAATGACAAAGAGTTGCAAAAGATTGCAGGAGAAGCTCGAAGAACTGCAGGGTATGCTGGAGGACGCGTTGCTGCTTGGCCCGGAGACTCACTCCCACGACTCCGTCTCAAGAGACATCAAACACAAACTTGCTTTCGTGAACAACCTGCTATATGCTGAACTTGCTTCTCATTCCTCACCACCCCCTTACTTGAACCACATTTCTGATCGGTTATTCGCATTGCAGGGGAATTTTAATAAATGGGATTCATTCAGATCAGTACAGCCAGGTCATGATATGGACAAGGATTCCACTTCCTCTCACACCGATTCCTGCGTCAACGATGATGGGGAGGCGCTTAATGAAACTGGTATGGTTGGTTTCGAAGACCCTGAAAAGGTTTGTCTTCATTCTAATGAGAAGGGTGAGGTAACTGACTGTGATGAGGAAGAGAAAGAGAAAGAGACGGGAGAACTGAAGAATGGATCTGATAATTTGGTATCTTCCGATTATGAAGAGGCAGAGGAGTTTTTTGAAGAGTTTGCAGGAGAGAAGGAGCTTGTGGAATTTGAGGGTAATGATTTGGTAAAGGAAGCGAGAAGAGAGAGTACGTCTGGGGAGAGATGTGGTGCACTGATTTGTGGGGTTGTCATTGGGATGATACTCATGATCTTCATCATCTTCATCATCTTCATCATCTTCATCATCTTCATGCTAAATACTTCTGACTGGTTTTATCATACAGAAGAACTGAGTTTTGCGGTTCCAACTTAGAAGTATGACCTACTGAATGTTAAAATTTGCTTCTGTGCTTCTTCCACACAATGTACTTCCAAAGACATTCAACAACACTACTGCACACAGTTTGTAGGCACTACTTTGTAATTCGGACTGAGATCGGTTCGTACAATCTATTTTGTAAATTGAAACGGAGGGTCACTTGAGTGGAGGAAAGTTGAATTCTTTTTCTTATCCAAAACTATCTGTTTGATTACTAAGAAACGCTGAAACTGCAAAATAAGGGGCGTGATAGCTATGTATTTCTATTATTAATATATTTTTTATCTCTGGTAAGAGTGGAAGTCGTTGAACAAAAAGTATAACAAATATTTTTTTTGTTTCAGATTTATTTTATTCATAATATATATATATATATATATATATATATATATATATATATATATATTACATTTTAATTGAAAATATTTATGCACCTTCCTTTGGTTTTCGCCTTACAAAATCTTGGCACATTTTCTTGCATCAGGAAACGGTACCCTTCTTTAATATCCTGAAACACTCGTTCTGAAATGAAATTGCTTGCAGGATTTTAATAAAATAAAAATGGAAAAAGTACAATTTCTTGTCGTAAGAACTTAATTGTTTGGAAAAGATTGAATAATAGAAAAACCACTGCGTATTTTTTTTTCCTGGATGGTCCTGCTAATGTTTTTATCAAAATTAGTGGAGCAAAATTCTTTTCGTTGATAAATAAAGTTGATGTTAAAATGCAATGGACAAGAAATAAGTGGACAACGTCACTTAACCACAAAACACTTGAATAAAAATGTCTCCAAAATAAAATACCCATGAAAAATAATAACGAACCAAGTTGTACTTCGAGTTCTGGTTAAGTACAGGCAGTAATTAAACAAGCCCTTGGATAAACCGAATTTTGAATCTAATATGAGGAAATTAATGGTATCGTTTGTATAGTGAAGTTCACAAAAAATCAACAAGAGAAAAAAAAAAGATGCTTTACTAAGAATGTATAAACAAAAGAAATTGTCAAAATCATCCACGTTAAACAGGAACTGGAAAACCCTTCTTGGCCATGCTATCCAAAACATCATTGAGGGCTTGACATAGGCCTACAATCTGCAACGAAATCCACCATTAGTAAAAGCTTGAGGAAATTGAACCGTTGAAGGTTTGCTCTAATGCGGCAGAACATGCTAGTGAATTAAACAGTATGGTCCTCAAAGAATAGGTGCCAATGAATTCTTGGGTTAACACATACAACGCAACGTTTCATTCTACAAGTACATTTAAGCACAAAATGCGACATACTTCAGGTTCATAGGAATCGGTTACATATATCAAAAACTTCAACTAAAAACCAAATAATTCATTTGAGATTCATTAATCAAGAAAATGATTAAAATTGGAAAGAATGCCTAATTTTTCAGAGTTTTAGCTAATCATACTTTTAAAAAAATCCAATTGTGTGCTCCAATATTTCACTGGAAATTTCATAAATTTAGGTAGCCGCCGCAGTTGGGGTGGAGATTCATTGATTATTTATTTAATCCACCGTTAACCACTGCATCCAGAGATATCAGATCTTTATAACAAAATTACCTGTTGGTCCCATCTCTGCAACTCTTCAGTGTCGTCATCAAAATGTATGACTGCTTCAACCTGCAATAAATCACATAAAAATTGGCCACTGCTCCTCAAAGAGGCTAAAATAAAAACCTAGCAATAATGTTTTCCTCACTCTCATAACAGCTAATAGCTCCCCTCCTGCATCATACCCCAAACCCTTTTCCTAATTCCCATCTAGCAGTCCAACAAGAAGATTCCTTTAATTATTATTTCTATTTCCGTTAGTTTATTCATAAACAGAGGTCAATGGTTATTTATACCTGATCGATAGATCCCCTCATCCTATCCTCATAAATCATTCTTGATGCTATCTTCTCAGCCTGCGAAAAATAACTGTTAAGAGAGAAAAACTAACACAAATAAAATCTAACAAGCTCTACAACCACAGACGTTAAAGAGAGAAATATTATTTACACACTCTCTACCCGACTCAATTAATTTACAGATTCTGATGGTCTCGAGAATGATTTTGTAACTTTCTATCGAGAGTGTTAGAATGTGTAGCAAGCAACCCTTAAAAAATACCCAAGAGCAATTTCCTTGTGTATAAAAAATAAATANTTCCGTTAGTTTATTCATAAACAGAGGTCAATGGTTATTTATACCTGATCGATAGATCCCCTCATCCTATCCTCATAAATCATTCTTGATGCTATCTTCTCAGCCTGCGAAAAATAACTGTTAAGAGAGAAAAACTAACACAAATAAAATCTAACAAGCTCTACAACCACAGACGTTAAAGAGAGAAATATTATTTACACACTCTCTACCCGACTCAATTAATTTACAGATTCTGATGGTCTCGAGAATGATTTTGTAACTTTCTATCGAGAGTGTTAGAATGTGTAGCAAGCAACCCTTAAAAAATACCCAAGAGCAATTTCCTTGTGTATAAAAAATAAATATATCTTCATGTGAAAAACAGACAAACAATAGATACATGAAACAGTAAATTCAACAGAGAAGTGTGTTTCTTTCTATAAAAGGAACCATTATTAATAGTTCATACCTTGTGAGGTGGGATCCCCAACAGCGTGCCTAGCTCTCCAAAGCTGCAACAGAGGCATACGGAGATTAAGATGCATGAAACACATAAGTAATAATGTTAAAATAATGTACTTATAAGAAAGAAGTAAGCAGGTAGCATAATTTCCCAAACCTGATATTAGTATAAAGTTTGCTTGCGCTAAGAAGATTGTGCTCAATCATAGCCCGGTCCAGTACAGTGAAATTGTCTGGAAGAAGAGCTTTCTGTGGGAAAAAGTGAAAGCTGAGGCATGCCTAATATGACTCCCAAAACTATGAAGATACAATATAAATTTAGATAACCTGATGTGGTTTCAATTCTTCTGAAAAAGCATCAATTTCTGGTTTTCTTAGAATTCTCTCCAAATAAACCTGATGTAGAAGGGATTCAGATAATATGATTCAAGCAGAGAGCCATGCAAGACATGATTAGTGGGGGAGAAATACCTTCTGCAATATTGGATAGATCTTCAACTTTGAGCACCGCTCATCCTAATCCAATCCCACAAACCTTAATGTGATGAAATTTGACCTTTGCAAACAGGACTTTTAAATATTTAATGAGTGAAGCATTCACCTTGTACAGAGTAGCGAGAACACGGGAACGCTGAGGTCCTGCAGCTGCCAATATCGTGCATGTAACAGCAGCAGATAAAGTTTGCTCAAGTGCTTCTTCATTAATCTCCCTATAACATTATAATTCAATCCATGTGATACTGCCTAAGAGTAATGCTATTTAAGAAATAATTATATACTTATATGTAATATAGGCTAAACATTAACCACAATGGACACATGCAAAGTTATAACAAATATAGCTTTCATTTCAGATTAGGGGACAGTAAAGTTAAAGGTCAAGGATATGTACAACCTTTACCATCATTAGACCGTCACTCACAAGTTAAGTTCATCATTTGGTCTAATAAATGCTGAGATACCACATTGAAATATTGAGTGTTAATTACATTAAGTAATACTGTCTGTGAACCAAGCTGAAATGCAGTTTAGGAATTAGATTTATTATGGACCAAAAAGAATGTCATTATTATGATAAGAATTACCAAAGGCCCCCACTAACTAATTTCCATGAATTTATCAAGTAATGGACAATATTAACAAATATACACAGTTTGCCAAAACTTCACATGAAGACAGTGTGTTTGTATATGCATTGTCCAATGGCAGATTGCCATTGAACACAGTTTGTGACTGCTTCCAAACACAAACAACACAGTTCTGTTTACGATGTCAAAGGTTTTCATACTCTGCCACATATATCAGGTACAACAGTACTGAGCATTCCATCGAGCATCCCTGTATATT